TGAGCTGCTTGTCAAATGGAGAGGTCTCACAGAAGAGGTAAATTCCTGGGAACCAGTCCAGAACGTGATCGAAGATGTTCCAGTATTGGTTAAGAAATTTCTTACCAGCAACCAAGACATTCCGGCGATAGTGAAGCTCATGGAAGACATCAACTGGTCTACAATGTAGACTTTGCATTTCAGCTTCATCGAAGGGGGAAGTGTTGCTTGCTGTCGACGCACTGTCGTCAAAAGCCAGCACGTTGGCCTTTAGAAACCAACGCGATGGCAGTTAAGAAACCACTAGAAACCCCTAGAAAAAGCAGCTAGATAATTCAATTCACTTCATATTTTCACTTCAAGTCAACAGAGGGAACAAACCACTACAGCATCCCTGGTCTTTAGTTCACACCGCAATCAGCTCCTCACCAACGGTTAATGGAAATATAGCCTTCCCCTGTCTTTGAAGCCACCAATAGTAAAAATAATATAGATTCGCGAGTTTTCTTCATACTCGAGCTGACTTTTGCTTTGCATCATATTGTGGTAGAACTGGGTAGGGGTTTCCCCTAGGCGATACATCTCCCAAAACTTTTGATCCATCGCCTGCAGTTTGAGTCTGCATTTGTCACCAAGGACGCATCTCCAACTGAAAAGAGGAAGGAAAAAGCGCTCAATGAGCATTACTCTAAAATGCGCATGGCGACTTATTTTGAAGATGGTGAAGACTCGGGTTGCGTACGGGAGGGTAATGTGAAAAGTAATGGCTAAAGTGTCCTTGAGGATGCCAAGAACCAGTGCATATCAAGACTGGGGCTCGGACGGAGCTGTAGGTTCGCTCTGCATCCTTGAACGCATCATTTGGTGGGGTTTTAGCGATTTCAAAGTTTTAAAAACTCGTGTTGCTATGGAAAAAAACCACATAAAACCTTTTCTTTGACACATATTCTGTATTTTAGCATTATGACCAAAAATTAGCTTCAAGTCTGATAAAACTTAAATTAGCTGTTGCGCTTTTGATTGCGATGCCCATTTTGCATATCTATGAACGATCATGATGCCGCACTGACCACGGATGGTCGAAAATATATTTAACAAGCCGAGCGGAGCCTCGCAAGCTGGGCTCTTTATGCAAGTTTAAGCCGAGCAGCAAAGTGACCGCCTCGCTTCGCTCGGCGGGTAGGTTTCACTAAGACATGTGCCTTCTGATTAAGCTAATATAGGTTTGAAAGGAAACGAGAAAAAGGTTATTCGCCTTGCCGCCTCCGGAGATTTTATTTACAGTGTCAAATAACAGCTCTGTATTATTCATTGACCCTCCTATAATAGCTGAAAATACCGCGGTTAGCGGGGTTAAAAAGCCTTACATATATTGCTACACTATGGTTCGCGTCTGCAGACCATCAAATATTACCAAGAACCGGATTATTTCTCTGATAATTAGCAACAATTATTGCTGCTTAGTACCTGTAGCTCCAGCTATAGTTGTAACTTTTTTTAAATTAGAGGGCACCACCACCTGATTTCTGTAGCCATTTTACCGGTAGACACCTTGGGTACCGCCATCAATTGAGAGCTGCGACATAATAATGGGCTCCATTTTGATGCAGGCACTTAATCTAATCAAAACTAAGTGCCCTAAATCAATTATTTATCTTGATGGGATTAATTAAGGTGCTCGTCGTTCATAGTCGTGTTACCACTCCAACAGCACTGTATTGGGGCTTCAAATGTCAAAATTTTACACTCGAAAATTTGTCGTTAACTTCTCTTTAAGATTTACTGTCCTAAAACTATCCTGAAAAACGATTCTCTAACCTGGTTTGTGAAATACGCGGATCGCTGTGGAGCGCGATACAGGACCAGCCTACGCGAATGCCGTGGGTGTTTGCTTTGGCTACGGGCGCTCGTTAGTTGGTCTTAGTAAAATAAAGTAAAAAATTGGGACATTTAGGACAGTTTTGAGACAGAAAGGTCTGGTAAGATCGATGCTTAGCTGCTACATGTATCGCGTCGACGAAAACAGTTACTGAGTAGACTTACCGCGAGGATTTAAAAAATGCACATACGAAATATTTTGGCGTCGACATGGATAGGTTAACAAAATCGTAGTGTTTCCAGCGATTGTACATAGTAGGTATTCAGTAATGATGTGAAGACTCCAGTGTGTAGCACTTTTAAGTCGTTCTGCCCTAATTTTACATTAATTCCAAAACATGATCATACCCCCGTGTCTTATCGTAAGCTATTGCCAAAATAGTTATATATTTATCTGCCGTAATCGATAAAAAAGGAATCTAAGGTTTTCAATAGATAAAGCTGTTTTTGTTACTTGCAATCACGTTGGACTTCTTGCTCACACTATACAACAGACATATATTTACTCTAAAGTAAAATGATATGTAGCAATCAAAGACAGATTATTAATCACCAAACATTTGATAGTTGTCCAGATTGAGTTATCTGAACATATTATGAGCATTTATATTGTCACGTTAATTACATTAGTCATTTAAACACCACATACATCGTGCCGAAACGTGCTCAAATGGTGCGCAACTGAACTGAGTAAGCACAACATTTATAATAGGTCTAGCTGAGCTCTCCAAATTTGCTGGATCTCAACTAAAACTGAGTAAAATACAAAATGAAAGCTACGGAAACACGTGCTGTAATCGTTTCTAGTTAGCTTCCTTACATTAAAAAGTAAATGTCCATCCCAGATTGTTACTCGTTTATTTCATTCTTTTCACAAAGAGGTATACATACCTGGATCTCCCAGTACTTATTTTTTCATTCTACCTACGCATAGTTTTAAAGATAGCAATTTACCTAAGCTTTTTAATTAATAGCCTCTAAAATAATTTGAATCAATACGCAGCATTATTAAATGATTCTAAAAAGATTTTTTTTTAAAATCTGCACGTTACCACGGTTAACCCTTTAGCTCACGCCTGAACATACTAAAGAAAAATAATCAATACAGTAAACGACTTAAAAACTTGAGCATTAGCTGTAATCAATATTTTTATTTCTAACATTGTGCGCTCTACGGCCAGGTCGCGATGAGAGCAAATTCCTGGTTAGGAAGGGCTCTTGTATGTAATTGTAATACAAAGTAAAAGTAGCACCACTGCATTATTAATGCTGTGTGCAAACATGCAGGGACTCGTACTACCACACATTTTATCCAATGCGAGCTCGTTATTTTATAATGGAGACAAAATTATAAATACGAATTTCGTTTTTTAAATGTTTTGTGAAACAATGGTTTTTTTTTCGGACAAAGAAATCGCTACCGTCTTACCCCGCATATAAGGCATATGTGCTGTAAATGAATACAACACTGCTTGTGTGTTATATTCGTTTAGAAAGCCTATGTGTTGTACAACGAACAAATTGTTTGACTTTGAAGAATCATGTTTGTGGGTCCTGGAATCTGGCTTGGTCTTTAGGCCTGACCCTCCTGATGCCACCCGCGAATGGTCTCAACCGCCACGCTGTGCTTCTTGCTAAGAGCACCAAAGCCGTGACCTTTCACGCCTTTCCGGTAGTCTGCTAGAACAGCGAGTCTCTCGTGGATACTATAGCTACGTCGCACTCATGGCTGTGTAAATTATAAAATAAGAGAGCTAAAGCCAAGTAACAGCAGCACCGACAAGTTTGTTCAGAAGGGTGGTTGGTTGGGAGCTCTCAAGAATATTCATTGGTTGGTACAGCCTTGTGTGTTTGAGTAGGTCTCGGCCACATGTGTTCTAATTAGGTAGGTGGTCAAATTGAGTTTAAGCTAGATGTCGAGCGAATCCCGTATTTTATTTAGAACACAAATGCCTTATATGCGGGGTAAGACGGTAGGCAGAATTAGCAATAAAATCTCTATTTTTTTTTACATCGACTTTGTTACCGTGAGAGCTGTCGTGTGCGTTTTTTTTTTGCATCACAGCAAGTTACAGCACAGAGTATTATTGGAGTCGTATCTACAGAATGCACTCGCAATACTTACCAACCAAGCTGAAAGGTACTACTTTCAACAGCGTCAGGACCGGTGGCGTACACTGTAGTATAAGCGCTTCAACCAGTTTTAGTTTTTGTGACAACAGAGAATGTCTGACTACTGCCAATCCTGAAGGACTCGTACTACGTAATTTGTTGAAGGCACTTGATTTACTGCCCACAATCAATTGAAGTACCGTGCGTGCAGCGGGTCAAATTGCCAATTTGAAATTGGATCGTCAAAAGAGTGCCGTCGCATAATCCGATGCTCCTGCTCTGCACGGGCGATGTTGCTTTTAAATAATCTGGTGTTCAAGTCTACATCGCGCACTAGGATGAGATGAGCAATATAGACAATAACCAAGACCAAATAGGACTAGCCACACCTGGTTTTGTCGACGGTGGACAGAGATTGCGCTGTAGCTGGCATTGGTACTTCGATCTCACCGTCCTAAAGTCATTTTCCATTTTTTCGAGCATTCACCCAAGAAACACCAGCACGTCTTTCTCCAAAGCTTCTAGTCTACTTATGAAGGTATTGAACGCGCTGCTCGTCGTAGCTGCATTCGTCATGCAGTGCGCCGTCTTCGCGTACGAGTGCGTCGATACCACCACTGGCAGTTCGACCACCCAACCATCGTCGCAGTCGGAGTTCTCAAGCTCTACAGCTTCCTTTGCGACTACTTCGACGTCTACCGAAAGTGGCGAAAGCCTCGCGGTGGTCGAGCCGGTCATTAGCTGCTCCGAGTTGGTTTCTGTTGATCGCATGTCGATTGGTGGCACCGGCACCAACATCACGGAGGTAACGGAGATTGAGGTGGATGGTGTGTCATACTGCTACGTAGAGGGGTATCTACCACCTCAAGCCAAGTGGATGCTGCGTCTCCCCATCACCACGTGGACGCAGCGTTATCTGCAGGCTGGCTGTGGTGGGTTGTGCGGGCCAACGATGGCTGCTTTATCTGTTGTTGCTGCGGAAGGTTCGGATCAGTATGAAAATGGACACTTCGCGTTGGGAAACCACGGATATGAACGGTGGCACCGACGGCACCTTTGCTTTGGATAAGGAGGCTTTCATCGATTACGCGTATCTAGCTGTCCACAACATGGCAGAACTATCCAAGGCCTTAATCAAGAAGTACTATGGCCAGGAGCAGCAATATGCCTACTTCAATGGCTGCTCAGACGGCGGTCGTGAGGCCGTAATGACCGCTATGCGCTATCCGAATGACTTCAGCGGTATCATTGCCGGAGCGCCCGCCATGTTATGGCAATTTCAGAACAGCTTTCATCACGCCTGGGACGCTGTGAGTAACTTGGACGAAAACGAGAAGCCGATCTTTAATCCGTCGCGTATTCCGATCCTACACGATGCTGTGATCACTGCTTGTGATGCTTTGGACGGTGTGGAGGATGGTCTCTTGACGGACCCTCGTATCTGCAATTTCGACCCCCGCACACTTCAACGCGCGGACGACGCTGACAACTCCACGTGTTTGACTGCTGCTGAAACCCAAGTGGCCGTGGACTTCTATACGGGGCCTGTCGACGAGGCCAGTGGGGAGCATTTGAAGGTCGGTGAGATGAAGTTTGGGTCCGAGACGGCGTGGATTGGCGTGGGTATTCCTGCTACTGACGGAGGCAGTGTCGCAAGCGAGTCTATGGCTCTGTCAACGCTCCGTTACCTCGTCTTTAAGAATGCCCCAGGTGCCAACTACACGCTTGCCGACTTTGTCTTCGCCAACTCGACCATTGACCTGTTACGACCGCACCATCCCTTCCCGGATGCTGTAAGTCCTGATCTCTCGCCCTTCCACGAAGCTGGAGTTAAACTTATTCTTTGGCACGGTTGGGCGGATCAGCACATTTCGCCGCACACCACTATCCAGTACCACGAGAAGTTGATCGACAATATGGGCGCTGACGCTGTCGAGGATTTCAACCGAATGTACATTTTTCCTGGTGTGTGGCACTGTGGTGACGGAGAGGGCATGGCGTCGCTCGACTTGTTGACACCCATGTTGGACTGGGTGGAATCTGGATTGTCTCCCCACAAAATCATGACATCGACAGAGGTGGTTGGCTCGGCGTCGGCCTCGTCTAACACGGTTTACCGCACCCGTCCAGCGTATCCATACCCATCTGTGGCGAAGTACACTGAAGTTGAAGGAGGCTTTGGAAAAAATGCACAAGAAAGTGGCAGAAGCTCGTAGCCTCGCACGCAAAAATGGTCGGAAAAAGGCAGCAAAGCGTGGTTCGGAAATGGCGCAGTTCGCTATTGGGGATTTCGTTTTTTATGCAGACGTCTGGGCTCACCGTCGATCTAAATTACGGGTCAAAATGGTGCGGTCCAGCACGTGTGGTTGATACTTCTTCCAATTGGATATTTGTTGTCGAAAACTTGCTGACCGGAGAGCGTCGCGAAGCACACGCCAGTCGTCTCAAGTTTTTTGCTGACGCTGAACTTGGAATTACCGAAGATTTACTCGCCCAAGTAGCTCACAACAGTGAAGGCCATGTGGTGGAGGAACTCAAAGAAGCGCGTTACAATAGCACGGCGAAGACGCATGAGCTGCTTGTCAAATGGAGAGGTCTCACAGAAGAGGAAAATTCCTGGGAACCAGTCCAGAACGTGATCGAAGATGTTCCAGTATTGGTTAAGAAATTTCTTACCAGCAACCAAGACATTCCGGCGATAGTGAAGCTCATGGAAGACATCAACTGGTCTACAATGTAGACTTTGCATTTCAGCTTCATCGAAGGGGGAAGTGTTGCTTGCTGTCGACGCACTGTCGTCAAAAGCAAGCACGTTGGCCTTTAGAAACCAACGCGATAGCAGTTAAGAAACCACTAGAAACCCCTAGAAAAAGCAGCTAGATAATTCAATTCACTTCATATTTTCACTTCAAGTCAACAGAGGGAACAAACCACTACAGCATCCCTGGTCTTTAGTTCACACCGCAATCAGCTCCTCACCAACGGTTAATGGAAATATAGCCTTCCCCTGTCTTTGAAGCCACCAATAGTAAACATAATATAGATTCGCGAGTTTTCTTCATACTCGAGCTGACTTTTGCTTTGCATCATATTGTGGTAGAACTGGGTAGGGGTTTCCCCTAGGCGATACATCTCCCAAAACTTTTGATCCATCGCCTGCAGTTTGAGTCTGCATTTGTCACAAGGACGCATCTCCAACTGAAAAGAGGAAGGAAAAAGCGCTCAATGAGCATTACTCTAAAATGCGCATGGCGACTTATTTTGAAGATGGTGAAGACTCGGGTTGCGTACGGGAGGGTAATGTGAAAAGTAATGGCTAAAGTGTCCTTGAGGATGCCAAGAACCAGTGCATATCAAGACTGGGGCTCGGACGGAGCTGTAGGTTCGCTCTGCATCCTTGAACGCATCATTTGATGTGGTTTTAGCGATTTCAAAGTTTTAAAAACTCGTGTTGCTATGGAAAAAAACCACATAAAACCTTTTCTTTGACACATATTCTGTATTTTAGCATTATGACCAAAAATTAGCTTCAAGTCTGATAAAACTTAAATTAGCTGTTGCGCTTTTGATTGCGATGCCCATTTTGCATATCTATGAACGATCATGATGCCGCACTGACCACGGATGGTCGAAAATATATTTAACAAGCCGAGCGGAGCCTCGCAAGCTGGGCTCTTTATGCAAGTTTAAGCCGAGCAGCAAAGTGACCGCCTCGCTTCGCTCGGCGGGTAGGTTTCACTAAGACATGTGCCTTCTGATTAAGCTAATATAGGTTTGAAAGGAAACGAGAAAAAGGTTATTCGCCTTGCCGCCTCCGGAGATTTTATTTACAGTGTCAAATAACAGCTCTGTATTATTCATTGACCCTCCTATAATAGCTGAAAATACCGCGGTTAGCGGGGTTAAAAAGCCTTACATATATTGCTACACTATGGTTCGCGTCTGCAGACCATCAAATATTACCAAGAACCGGATTATTTCTCTGATAATTAGCAACAATTATTGCTGCTTAGTACCTGTAGCTCCAGCTATAGTTGTAACTTTTTTTAAATTAGAGGGCACCACCACCTGATTTCTGTAGCCATTTTACCGGTAGACACCTTGGGTACCGCCATCAATTGAGAGCTGCGACATAATAATGGGCTCCATTTTGATATGCAGGCACTTAATCTAATCAAAACTAAGTGCCCTAAATCGATTATTTATCTTGATGGGATTAATTAAGGTGCTCGTCGTTCATAGTCGTGTTACCACTCCAACAGCACTGTATTGGGGCTTCAAATGTCAAAATTTTACACTCGAAAATTTGTCGTTAACTTCTCTTTAAGATTTACTGTCCTAAAACTATCCTGAAAAACGATTCTCTAACCTGGTTTGTGAAATACGCGGATCGCTGTGGAGCGCGATACAGGACCAGCCTACGCGAATGCCGTGGGTGTTTGCTTTGGCTACGGGCGCTCGTTAGTTGGTCTTAGTAAAATAAAGTAAAAAATTGGGACATTTAGGACAGTTTTGAGACAGAAAGGTCTGGTAAGATCGATGCTTAGCTGCTACATGTATCGCGTCGACGAAAACAGTTACTGAGTAGACTTACCGCGAGGATTTAAAAAATGCACATACGAAATATTTTGGCGTCGACATGGATAGGTTAACAAAATCGTAGTGTTTCCAGCGATTGTACATAGTAGGTATTCAGTAATGATGTGAAGACTCCAGTGTGTAGCACTTTTAAGTCGTTCTGCCCTAATTTTACATTAATTCCAAAACATGATCATACCCCCGTGTCTTATCGTAAGCTATTGCCAAAATAGTTATATATTTATCTGCCGTAATCGATAAAAAAGGAATCTAAGGTTTTCAATAGATAAAGCTGTTTTTGTTACTTGCAATCACGTTGGACTTCTTGCTCACACTATACAACAGACATATATTTACTCTAAAGTAAAATGATATGTAGCAATCAAAGACAGATTATTAATCACCAAACAATTGATAGTTGTCCAGATTGAGTTATCTGAACATATTATGAGCATTTATATTGTCACGTTAATTACATTAGTCATTTAAACACCACATACATCGTGCCGAAACGTGCTCAAATGGTGCGCAACTGAACTGAGTAAGCACAACATTTATAATAGGTCTAGCTGAGCTCTCCAAATTTGCTGGATCTCAACTAAAACTGAGTAAAATACAAAATGAAAGCTACGGAAACACGTGCTGTAATCGTTTCTAGTTAGCTTCCTTACATTAAAAAGTAAATGTCCATCCCAGATTGTTACTCGTTTATTTCATTCTTTTCACAAAGAGGTATACATACCTGGATCTCCCAGTACTTATTTTTTCATTCTACCTACGCATAGTTTTAAAGATAGCAATTTACCTAAGCTTTTTAATTAATAGCCTCTAAAATAATTTGAATCAATACGCAGCATTATTAAATGATTCTAAAAAGATTTTTTTTTAAAATCTGCACGTTACCACGGTTAAACCTTTAGCTCACGCCTGAACATACTAAAGAAAAATAATCAATACAGTAAACGACTTAAAAACTTGAGCATTAGCTGTAATCAATATTTTTATTTCTAACATTGTGCGCTCTACGGCCAGGTCGCGATGAGAGCAAATTCCTGGTTAGGAAGGGCTCTTGTATGTAATTGTAATACAAAGTAAAAGTAGCACCACTGCATTATTAATGCTGTGTGCAAACATGCAGGGACTCGTACTACCACACATTTTATCCAATGCGAGCTCGTTATTTTATAATGGAGACAAAATTATAAATACGAATTTCGTTTTTTAAATGTTTTGTGAAACAATGGTTTTTTTTTCGGACAAAGAAATCGCTACCGTCTTACCCCGCATATAAGGCATATGTGCTGTAAATGAATACAACACTGCTTGTGTGTTATATTCGTTTAGAAAGCCTATGTGTTGTACAACGAACAAATTGTTTGACTTTGAAGAATCATGTTTGTGGGTCCTGGAATCTGACTTGGTCTTTAGGCCGGACCCTCCTGATGCCACCCGCGAATGGTCTCAACCGCCACGCTGTGCTTCTTGCTAAGAGCACCAAAGCCGTGACCTTACACGCCTTTCCGATAGTCTGCTAGAACAGCGAGTCTCTCGTGGATACTATAGCTACGTCGCACTCATGGCTGTGTAAATTATAAAATAAGAGAATTAAAGCCAAGTAACAGCAGCACCGACAAGTTTGTTCAGAAGGGTGGTTGGTTGGGAGCTCTCAAGAATGTTCATTGGTTGGTACAGCCTTGTGTGTTTGAGTAGGTCTCGGCCACATGTGTTCTAATTAGGTAGGTGGTCAAATTGAGGTTTAAGCTAGATGTCGAGCGAATCCCGTATTTTATTTAGAACACAAATGCCTTATATGCGGGGTAAGACGGTAGGCAGAATTAGCAATAAAATCTCTATTTTTTTTTACATCGACTTTGTTACCGTGAGAGCTGTCGTGTGCGTTTTTTTTTTGCATCACAGCAAGTTACAGCACAGAGTATTATTGGAGTCGTATCTACAGAATGCACTCGCAATACTTACCAACCAAGCTGAAAGGTACTACTTTCAACAGCGTCAGGACCGGTGGCGTACACTGTAGTATAAGCGCTTCAACCAGTTTTAGTTTTTGTGACAACAGAGAATGTCTGACTACTGCCAATCCTGAAGGACTCGTACTACGTAATTTGTTGAAGGCACTTGATTTACTGCCCACAATCAATTGAAGTACCGTGCGTGCAGCGGGTCAAATTGCCAATTTGAAATTGGATCGTCAAAAGAGTGCCGTCGCATAATCCGATGCTCCTGCTCTGCACGGGCGATGTTGCTTTTAAATAATCTGGTGTTCAAGTCTACATCGCGCACTAGGATGAGATGAGCAATATAGACAATAACCAAGACCAAATAGGACTAGCCACACCTGGTTTTGTCGACGGTGGACAGAGATTGCGCTGTAGCTGGCATTGGTACTTCGATCTCACCGTCCTAAAGTCATTTTCCATTTTTTCGAGCATTCACCCAAGAAACACCAGCACGTCTTTCTCCAAAGCTTCTAGTCTACTCATGAAGGTATTGAACGCGCTGCTCGTCGTAGCTGCATTCGTCATGCAGTGCGCCGTCTTCGCGTACGAGTGCGTCGATACCACCACTGGCAGTTCGACCACCCAACCATCGTCGCAGTCGGAGTTCTCAAGCTCTACAGCTTCCTTTGCGACTACTTCGACGTCTACCGAAAGTGGCGAAAGCCTCGCGTGGTTGAGCCGGTCATTAGCTGCTCCGAGTTGGCTTCTGTTGATCTCATGTCGATTGGTGGCACCGGCACCAACATCACGGAGGTAACGGAGATTGAGGTGGATGGTGTGTCATACTGCTACGTAGAGGGGTATCTACCACCTCAAGCCAAGTGGATGCTGCGTCTTCCTATCGCCACGTGGACGCAGCGTTATCTGCAGGCTGGCTGTGGTGGGTTGTGCGGGCCAACGATGGCTGCTTTATCTGTTGTTGCTGCGGAAGGTTCGGATCAGTATGAAAATGGACACTTCGCGTTGCGGACCACGGATATGAACGGTGGCACCGACGGCACCTTTGCTTTGGATAAGGAGGCTTTCATCGATTACGCGTATCTAGCTGTCCACAACATGGCAGAACTATCCAAGGCCTTAATCAAGAAGTACTATGGCCAGGAGCAGCAATATGCCTACTTCAATGGCTGCTCAGACGGCGGTCGTGAGGCCGTAATGACCGCTATGCGCTATCCGAATGACTTCAGCGGTATCATTGCCGGAGCGCCCGCCATGTTATGTCAATTTCAGAACAGCTTCCATCACGCCTAAGACGCTGTGAGTAACTTGGACGAAAACGAGGAGCCAATCTTTAATCCGTCGCGTATTCCGATCCTACACGATGCTGTGATCACTGCTTGTGATGCTTTGGACGGTGTGGAGGATGGTCTCTTGACGAACCCTCGTATCTGCAATTTCGACCCCCGCACACTTCAATGCGCGGACGACGTTGACAACTACACGTGCTTGACTGCTGCTGAAACCCAAGTGGCCGTGGACTTCTATACGGGGCCTGTCGACGAGGGCCAGTGGGGAGCATTTGACCGTCGGTGAGATGAAGTTTGGGTCCGAGACGGCGTGGATTGGCGTGGGTATTCCTGCTACTGACGGAGGCAGTGTCGCAAGCGAGTCATTGGCTCTGTCAGCGCTCCGTTACCTCATCTTCAAGAATTCCCCAGGTGCCAACTACATGCTTGCCGACTTTGTCTTCGCCAACTCGACCATTGATCTGTTACGACCGCACCATCCCTTCCTGGATGCTGTTAGTCCTGATCTCTCGCCCTTCCACGAAGCTGGAGGTAAACTTATTCTTTGGCACGGTTGGGCGGATCAGCACATTTCGCCGCACACCACTATCCAGTACCACGAGAAGTTGATCGACAATATGGGCGCTGACGTTGTCGAGGATTTCAACCGAATGTACATTTTTCCTGGTGTGTGGCACTGTGGTGACGGAGAGGGCATGGCGTCGTTCGACTTGTTGATACCCATGTTGGACTGGGTGGAATCTGGATTGGCTCCCCACGAAATCATGACATCGACAGAGGTGGTTGGCTCGGCGTCGGCCTCGTCCAACACGGTTTACCGCACCCGTCCGGCGTATCCATACCCATCTGTGGCGAAGTACACTGGTTCGGGTGACGTGAATGACGCTGTGAACTGGGAGGAAGGTGATGCACTGTACTCGAACTTGACGGCGTATTGGCATGGCGTGGACTTTTTCGACGTGTTTAATCCTACCATGGATCCGTAAAATACCAAAGGCTGCCTGACCTTCTCGGGTTTGTACAGGCAAAATCCGAAACCTGAAAAAAAGAGATTTTTTTTGCTTCGAGTGACTCAATGAATCATAATTTTGTTTTGGCAAGTTTTGTACAAAAAAAAGAAATTAAAAATTATACAACAGAGATACTAATGGTACTCAAATCATTTTGCACGGGTATCTATTATATCTAACTCATGAGTATTAATGATATTTAGTTTTACCTAAAGAAACCGGTAGAAAAACCAGCACTTTTGGGACACTGTACGGTACACTGTACCGAAACGGAAGATTGTCATCCAATCGACAAAAAGAGCTCATGACTTCGACGCGCAAGTTCTGCTGCGACGACTTGTTCCGATTCAACAATGTGAACCTGGACGTGCTGACAGAGACGGTGGGTCTTGTGTCTACCATTTGACACCTCTTACCCCTCTATGCATGATGTATTGACCGAGTTCTACTTTGCAGTACAACATGTCGTTCTACCTTCAGTATCTGTCCAAGTGGCCGGACTATTTCTTGGTGCAGGAGGACCCGAACAACACCATCATGGGCTACAGTGCGTTTTGTTTCTCCCTCTACGTTTCTAAATCCCTTAGCGGCGGAATTTGGCTTAGTTTAAGACACTAAACCACGTATTACCTTTAGTCATGGGCAAAGCTGAAGGCCAAGACACCAATTGGCATGGACACGTGACAGCTGTGACGGTGGCCCCAGAGTTCCGACGTCTCGGACTAGCCAAGAAGCTCATGGACTACCTGGAGAATGTGTCGGTGGAACTCTACGATGCCTACTTTGTGGACTTGTTCGTGCGTGTCTCCAACTCGTTGGCCATCGGGATGTACGAGAAATTCGGCTACTCAGTATATAGACGCGTCCTTGGGTACTATTCGAGTGCAGACGACGGGGAAGACGCTTTTGGTACGGTATTGTGGGAGTTGAACGTTGAAGCAACAAGGATATTTGACAAAAAACTGTTTTATTACATTGTTTAGATATGAGGAAGGCACTGCCTCGAGACATCCACAAGAAGTCGATCATACCGTTGCCGCATCCGATCACACCAGACCAATTGTAGTTGTGAGTCAAGGAGAAAAATGAAATTTGCAGTTGCAACATGCAACAAAATGCGTTTTCATTTTTTGTTGCAGAAAATTAAAGAAACAATTGCTTTTTAAAGCAACTGGTTACAAAAGTGAAAACAATGATTGCAATAGATTAATTGGTTTGGGTTGCTCTCTCCAGTTTCTGAAGGATTTTTGAATCACCGAGACTACATGTGACGCATATGACACAGCTATTGCTCATTGTCCTTCGTGAGCTTGGACTACAAACGCACAAGGCGCGTGGACGATCGGGTCGCTCTCTTTACGTTGAGGCAACTTGGGCGGAAGACCACGAGGACGTCGCATTGTTCCGAGAGGCAGCAGCCTTCGTCGTGTCTTGTCCGTCCCAACGATTAGCTCGTGTTTCTCTTCCGATGGAGCTGATGAGGATCGGTCATAGATGGTGAACCCCACTTTGACTGAAGCGTTGATCGGCGAAGAAATCAACGACGAGGGCAGCCCTGTCGGTGCTCCTTGCGGCGGGGGAGGTGGAGGCATACTTGGTCGTCTTCTAAAGGACTTTCGCTCAACCTGCTTAACGTCACAGCTCACTTTATCGTTCCGTATTCTTCTCAACTCTGGCTTGTCCTTCGACGCATCCCACAGTGAATTTTCCACGTTGCTAAGTATCTGACGGATCGCGTCGTACAGATACCGACCGTTTGCCTTCAAAATGGCGTCCTGGAACCAGTCTGACTGTACCCGCCGTCCGATTTGCTTAAACCGCTCTTCCTCTCTGCTTAAATCAGAGTCATCTTCTAGATTTTCGATCTCCATCATGCCAACGTGGGTCAGAATCTCACGAAGCACGACGCCCCCCACGCGCCTTTCCTCTGCCAATCGCTCGTTAATTCGAACCACGAACTCCATGGCAACCGGTTCCATGCGGTTAGTCTGTGTCATTTGACTGGACGAGTACTCATCGTAAGTGTCAAGTTTTATATTCTGCAGACCACTGAGGTCACCTCTCCTGTCCTTGGCCATCAATTTACTCTCTCCGTACTTTGATATCGCTGCAGACACCATGAGCAGGTCCAGTACCTCCTGCTGGGTGTCTTTACTATTCCCGATACAACGCAGCACCTTGGGACTCACAATGTAGTTGACCCACGCGTCCAACTGTTCACGGGAGAAGGCGCTTCGGGCTTGAATTTCCATGGCCATTCCCGGTTCGTAGCTCTTGAAAAAGTTACGGAAACGCACGTACCGTTCCTCGCTGATACGACGAATCACCTTGGCTCGCTGAACACTAAAGGCGTCGACGTCGTGTAGCGCGAAGGTGGTTTTATCGGGACGGCGGTTGGTACTTGTAGCGTCACTAATAGACCGTACGGTCCGCATAGATCCGTCGATAGTAGAGCGCAGTTCACCAACTTCATCCGTCTCCGAACGCGACGCTAACGTTGAACGTCGACCCATGGGCATCACCGGTCTCCAGACTACGGGAGTATGCGCCAAGTCCGACGCGAGAGACGAATTTCCGCCGAGTGTGTGTCGACGATGAAGCGGAGGTCGGATACCCGTGAAGACTTCATCATCGTCTCCGATAATCTTCACGTTGTCCGCCATGATGGCTAATGAGTACACTCCACCTCGCACCTTTCGTTCTGACCGGCGACGCACGCCACGGCGGACTTTGACCACCTGTTTAGCGTCTTATCGCAGCCATTCTGCTTTGCCTATCCGCTCGCGAAGTTGGCGATTGCAGCTGGTCAGCTGCATTAACCCGCCACACGCTTTCGAGGACCCAAAAAGCTGGCGATCCGCTCGTCGTTCTTGACCAACATCGGCTGTACGACCGAGACGCAGGTGGCTGCAGGTTCGATCATACACGAAGCTGTGTGGCAACGTCGTGACATGCACAGTCGTGAAGCCACAACTATTATACTGTAGATACACCACAACAACTGTATATTCACAATGAAATAAAAAGCTGCAACCGTTTGCCACCGAAATCTCGCTGCAAAAGGCTGTCAGTAGTTGCCACTTAAGTGGTGTTCGGGAGTTCAGGAAGTTGATCAAAATAGCATCGTGTGTCCGAGAAAGTTAAGAGCACCGGTATATGGATAATAATGCTTCTGACAAGTTTCTTTTGTGTTCACCCTTGCTTCCGGGTCCCGACTCGCGTGTCAAAGTTGACGCCGAATCTTGTCCGCAGATCACCACAACCCTCTTTCTCAAACCCAGCAGTCATTGACGAATTTTGCGATGAATTCGATGAGCGACTCGGGTCCGACGCTCAAGTGAACGTTCAATGATATGAAGCCTACCTTGAAGGCGGCAACACTACGCTAGAAGTCGTAGTCTCGTCGTTGCCATATTCTCTCATTTCTGTTTTTTTTCTTTTTTTTTAATGTTTTATTCAGTGATTTTCTATTTCGGGATAAATTCGTCGTGTTCGCCAAATTGGTGCATTTCAACGCACTGCTCTCACCTCTTCGACGTTTCCTTGGACCATGACAACCTCAAGCATTTGCCACTACGGCGTCTTGGCGCGTGTGTACGTCGAAGAAGACGAATGGACAGAAGACGAGCAATTTAGCAAGGGTTGCTTCAAGACGCACAAGAAGACACCATACCGAACTGACACGGACTTATTGCTTGCATTGGGAGAGTCTCATCTCTTCGCCCTTCGTCGTAAACAACAACAAACGCGTTCGTGTGTGTGTATGTCCCCATCAGAACTTGCACTCGAAAGCAGCACACAACAGCGACTTGCAAGTGAATTTCAGTGTCCCCACGTGCATTCATACGACGATTACCAACCATGGGCTGCCATCGAGTACTCAGCAATCACGCAGGTGCAACTCACCTTCAAAACAGTGAGTACAACAGGCGAGTCGGGCAGTTTAGCAGCGCGAACGAAAGATCTGGTCGTGGTAGTGAAAGATGGCAGCAAATTGTGGGTCGAATTTGAGCATAACTTAAGTCGAGGAGCTTTCTTGGACGCACTCGTGGCTGCCTCGGCCCCACATGTGGCGCTAGACTTGGACTACGCTGACGTGGGCAAGCCGGTTCAAGCCGAAAAAGCTGCTGAAACGTTGATTAAAGACGTTAAAACACCTGTTTCGCCACGAATGGTGTTTGAATTCCAGCGAGCAGCATCACGCTTGGCCGTGATACTCGCATTAGAGATCGATGCTGATGATCTCGATGTGGCACTGTACGGTGAGACGGAGCACGGGACCACAGTGACCTCGCAGAACCTTTCCAGCGTTTATACCGGGTCGAATCAACCTACGCTTAGTTTTAACTTTCGACGGGAGGCTTTACGTAAATCCATAGAGATTAGAGTTCAACTGGCACTGCAGCTCTCCAGCGACGTGGAGCTGGACAACCCACAGTGTCATTTCTTACTTGGCACAGCGATGGAGTTGTCGCGTGTTCTGGACGAACCGGATTTGCACACTCTAACGTGGTTGGTTAGTGGGTTTATCAATCTCCAACGAGCATTACTAGCCACTTCACCAGCATCCACGAAGCTGGCTCAGTCACAACTGGAATATGCCATCAAGACCTCTCGCGAACACTCGCTACGACTACAGTTAGCACTGTCGTTAGCATGTTATGGTGATTTACTTCGTTTAAGCACACAGGATATCCCTGCTGCACGAGTGGTGCTCATTGAGGCTGCGAGATTGATGCCGGCAAATGCACTTGATGTTGCCAGTAAAATGCAGCTACACGACAAGATTCATCGACTTGGGATCGCGCTATCACCACGCAATGAACGTGAAACACAGGATAAAAATGTGATTGACCTGTGGAAAATATTGGCCAACGCTATGGCAACACCACCTCAACAATCTCAGAACTCGCTGCTGTGTCCTGTGGCCAAGAGTAGTACAGAGCGCTCGCGCGGTTGCTTTGTTGAGATTTTCATTGCTACGGATGCGAGGACCACGACTGGACCGGTCCGGCTCCTTCGTGTGTATTTCACAGACAAATCAACGTTCGATTGGTTAAAACACGAGATTAATCAGCGTTTAAACACTGTCCCCATGTATGAACTGGAGGACGATGAAGCAAAGGCCATGTCTACTGAGGTTGTTGGATTCTACGACTCAGTGAAGAAAAATCAAGCCGTGATGTCCTGGGACTCGAAGATACACGACGTTGTTCGTGTCGACTGGCATTGTATTCGTGCAATAGTGCGCCAAACGGTAAAAACTGAAGAGAATGCGATAGAATCGACAACCCAACGTCGTATTGTACCGACACTACCACCTGTTGCGGTGAGATGCTCGAAATGCCGCAAGCAGATGCCGTTAAGCGAAGTGGAGTCACACTCTGAGGCTTGCAAGTAGTTTTTTAGCAATTAAACAAAATGATGCAAAATTAAATCTAGTTTTTCAAACATGAAAATTGTATTGCGATAATGTGGGTACATCAAAGTCCACATTTTGTCAAAATGGCGCCAACAACATTGGTACGTCTCCCGCCCCAGATCGTTCGCTACGTGTGACTCTCCTGCGTCTTCTAGAGCCGGCCGCTCTGTAGCCATCATCTCATCTGGTTGCTAACATGCTTGGCCCTGTTCCTATGTCTGTGGCCACCCCCATTTCTCTCTTCAGATCTCGCGCCACTCCGTCGAATACACGCCAACTTACCAGCGCTTTGTGCTGAAGCAAAAATCGTACGCTCAGCAGTTCTCGCACATCTACGTGAGTCGATTGCAGCAGCTACGTGATGTTGTGAGTGTCCAGGTCCAAGAGCACACGGCCGGCCGTATTCCGGTGTTGGCCAAGGTCATTGACCTCAAGGCCGACGGCCAAGAGTGTGTGCTTATCGGTACGTTGCTCAAGGTATTGGAGGCCAAGCCCGACATATTCGATGCACTTACCAGCGAATCGGGTGTTAAGCCCATTGAGACGATCGGTCGGCCATTGGCCACCAAAGACGACGAATTGCTGCTCGAGGACGAGAGTGGCCGAGTACAGCTCGTCGGCAACATCGACGTGGCTAGATTTGTCACTGGCGTCGTACTTGGTGTCCGTGGCCGTGTGGCCCGCGACGGGCCAGATGGCCATTTCCTTGTAGAGGAGGTATATCTCCCTTCGTTCCCGCCCCAACATCCATTACCAGAGAGACAAGAGAGTGAGTATGTGGCCCTGGTGTCAGGCCTGAACATCGGTCGTAACAAGGACCGCCAACCGATCCGCAATCACGTCCTCATGGACTATCTGGCCGGCCGATTGGGCGACGGAAACGAACGAGAGTTTGTGTCAAAGATCGTTAGAACAGTGGTGGTAGGCAACGTGATACAAGCCACAGGTAGTGATGAAGTGCAGGTGCCTACGATCAAACGCAAGACGGCCGAGCAGTTGGCTCTGGAGGGCGAGCCCTTAAGAAACGCTGACGAGTTGGTGTCGACATTGGCCGCGGCCATGTGTGTAGACCTCATGCCCGGAGCCTCGGACCCCAGTAACTATACTCTACCGCAGCAAAGTTTCCATCCGTGTTTATTCCCGCGCAGCTCGCACTTCCAGTCTTTCCGCTGTGTCACGAACCCATACGAGGCTCAAGTTGGAGGCGTTCAGCTGTTTGGAGATTCCGGCCAGCCTCTGCATAGTATGCTGCAGTGCACACTGCCCAAAAGGGACGATAACGACGAGAAGATGGCTACAGAGGAGCAAGAACAAGAGCGTGCACTGGACTACCTTGAGCGGTGTGTGGAGTGGCGTCATGCTGCTCCTACTGCGCCTGACATCTTGGCCTGCTTCCCCATGGCCAATGAGGACCCGTTCATCCTCGAAACCTGCCCGCATGTGTATTTTTCAGGCAACCAGCCTCGATTCAGTACACGTCTCGTCAAAGGTATGAATTGCAGCTAGAGTTACGATGTACTCTGATCTCTAATTGCTATTTTTTAACAGGAGGAAAAGATCAGCAAGTTCGACTTATCACGGTGCCGTCTTTCTCCGAGACATCTACGATCGTGATCGTAGATCTCAAAGACCTCTCTTGCTTCCCTATTACCATTGGGGCATGATTGATACAGTGACATGCACCGTAACATCATGGAAATACTGAAGACGAAATTAAAACAGACTAAGGCGTGCCACGCATCTTTTATCTTGATGCCGCATCGTCTTACACGAACGGCTATCCTATTGGTTTCTAAACGTCAGTTATACCCACAATAGAAAATACTATCTCTAACAAAAAACTCCTTTTTCATTTCTACTTTCGCTTTGATCGTCTGACATACCTCCTCCCGAGGAACTTATAGCGGTCGAGCGCATCTCGGTTGCGCTCCGACGGCGACACCCAGTGGTTGTTGATGTGCACAACGAGGACTATGAGTTACTAGGACACATCAAGGATGCCGAACATCTTCCGTCGGGTAAGTTCAAGGATGACGACGTGGGCGTTGTGGTGGCCAAATTTGGCAGCAAGCAAAATATTGTTTTCCACTGCGGTCCCGAGGATTTGCGCGCTACGTTCCATCGAGCGTGCACAGGCGGCTGGTGTCAAGCCGCATGTTTGTGTGCTTGCCCGGGATTTAACGACTTTGCTGAGGTATCTTTTATTAATTCCAGTTTTTTTTTTAAGATCGTCGTGCAAGTGTTCTCATCCTACTTTGCTGATCAGAAATATGCTATCTCGTGACCCGCCCACCGTGGGGCACACGCACGTATTAATAAGTACGGCGTTAACTTCTAGTTAAAATTAAATGATTTCAATAAGAAAAAAATTATGAATCGACGATTAGTTATCGCTGCACGGCCAGTAACATCATCATGTCCATCTGAATATCGTAATAAAAGCAGCCGCGGAAGAAAACACTCAAGGAGCGGGCGTCTGGGCGTGCACATGGCGAGCGACTGGAAGTCACGTATACCTACTTAGGTCCGTTGCATACAATTTTATACTCGTCTTTCTGTCACCGTAGAATAATCCTCGTGTATCTTTCCTTCGCCAGTCCATCAGGAAGATGTTGATAATCCACACCAAGACAAAACAGCACGTATACAAAATTTGACGCTGCATCCTAGTTTGCTGAATATTAGATCCTCCGGAACATCTTATTCTGTATAATACCGGGCTAGAAGGCTTAATACTTATTTTTTAACGTCTTTGACCGGCAGGTCCAATCTGTATACATGTATATCTCCTGTATACGTGGTGAAGGGAACGTAATGCGTAGAATGTTAGTTTGATCTGTGGAAGGACACTGTAACGGGGTACGTAGCACTAAGTGTACCCTGGTTACATGAAGTGTGACACTTCACACTTCAGGAGTATGACATGTCATACTCCGGGATATTTGGTACAAGGTACCAAGGTCATTCAAAACCAACCATTGGTTAAATGACATTGCATTTCTATAGGTAACTGATAGTTTGTATTAACCTCAAACTTAACCTACCTATAAATATACTCAGTTTACAATCTACCTTATTTAGGTCACTTCGCTCTCTTTAATTAAAGAGGGGACCTGTGAACTGCCGTTCACTGAGAGTTTGTATACTCTCGGAAGATAACTTCCTCTAGCGCAAGGTGCTGTGTGACCCCGTCACACTTGGTAGCACTTGTAGTCAATCCACGCCATCGCGGGTAGACTACCTGAACCTCCGAAGTTCGTTGCCATGGATAGGAACGACTTCTCCCATATGAACGACTCTCAGTTCGAGTCGGTTCGGAAGATGGCAGGCATCTTCGGGATGGAGGCCCTGCAGAGCCTGGTGGTATCAACACCGGCTGAGCAGCTCGAGCGCGTCAATGCATTCGACGCGTACGAGCAGGGCCTCATCGCGCATGTGCGGGAGAACCTGCAGGCTCCGGCGGCGGAAGCAAACCCGCCTCACCCGAAGCCAATACGGCTGAAGGTAAAGCCGTATGAAGGGAAGGAAGGCGAGAACCTTCACTTCTGGGTCCGAGAAGTAGAGCTCGCGATGGACGCGGCTCTGATCTCGACCGAGCAACTGCGTGTTGCTTTTGCACTCTCCAACCTTAGCGGTCGTGCTAAGAGTTGGGTGTACACTCGGGAAGCGACATCCCCTGGATGTTTCACATCCTGGGCTCAGCTGTGCGAACAGCTCCGAGCCGCGTTCCTCCCGGCGAACTACGAGTACCGCCAGCGTTCGCGCTGCCTCGCGTGTAAACAAGGAAGACGCGAACTGCACGAGTATGTGCAAGAGATACGGGAGCTCACGGCGTCCCTAGTGGGAAACCCACTCAATGAACACATCAAGATGACTGTGTTCATGGACGGCCTTCGAGTGGGACCCGCACGCACTCAGCTGTTCCGGGTGCAGGCAAGCACCCTTGAAGAGGCGATCCAAGTGGCTCTTCAAGAAGAATACAGCCATCGCCAGGCGCGTACGCCGGCCTCAGCGTGGCCTGGGAGTTCCTTGTCCACTCCCGGTCGAACAAGCCCCAACGGACCAGTTCCCATGGAACTCGGGTCCGCCGAACAGCGTGACATCCGCTGCTTCCGCTGCGGGAAGATGGGCCACTTCAAGCGCCACTGTCCCGCGGAAAGACTCCGCAGACGGTCCTTCCCCCAGCCCGTCCTCAAGGGTCGCTGGCAGACGCCAGGATCCCGGGGACAGGGGAGCGCTGGGAACCAGTAGGGGCGGGGCGCCCTACTGGGGAAGAACTAAGTCTTCGCGATGGGTGCTCGGGTGGCGCGTACCACGGGGACTCAGCCCCTGAAAGTCTTCGCACTCTCCAATCGGCGAAGAGCAGTGGCGGGTTGCTCGTAGTACACGGATGTGTACGGGGATACGATCATCCCTTTAGAATCTTGACCGATTCTGGGGTGTCGAAGAATTTCGCACGCCGCCAGACGGTTGCTCGTAACAGCAACAAGTTGTCCGATGCTTTGAGAGAAAGCAAGGGCAACGGGACGGGGTCAGTGCGACTGGCCGACGCGAAGGTCGTCACTGTCCCCAACGTCCAAGTGGATCTGGCCGTCAAGTTTGAAGACTTTGATAGCCTCGAGCATTTCACAGTTCTCGATATGGATCCATATGATATGATCCTGGGCATGCCCTGGCTTAAGAAGCACGAGACCTGGATCGACTGGCGGGGCAAGGCAATCAGTGCCTGCGGACCTGCGCAGTCCGACAGAGCATTGGTGAGTTATGTTCCCACCTCTGTCAGGACCCGGGGCGCCCGCAAGGGTTGCCAGGGTACCAAAGCATTCGGCAGATGCTTGGGAGTCGTGACGTAAATGACGACTCCGAGGATGTTTGATGGTGGAAGCCCAGAAAAGGCACTGGCCAAGTGGGTAACTTAGGTCCACAAGCGGGTAACTTAGTTCCGCAGACAGCTGCAGCTGTCATGAACACCAAGAGCA